ACTCAGATGACAAGCTCTTTTTTATAATGAGATTAATTCAATGTGATTTTCATAGTGAATGAGTATAAAAATAGCTTGATTAAGAATGAGAAATCAAAAAAACACAGAATTAAAAGAATTGAAAAAATCTTAAAAAAAGGCAGCTTGCTGATTGAATTTTGAGAAGTGGATGAACTTTCCCTTTAAGTTGATTTGAATTGCTTGATGATAAGCAAAATTCTAAATTTGGGGTGGTGATAAATCCACATTTCACTACATTTTTAGTATAGTTTTTGTTAATAAATAAGTAGAAAAGTACCAAATAAACTTGAAAATACCATAAATATTGCATTAATATTCATAATTGTGTAAATAGTTTAGAATTTTAGATTTTATTCCAATTTTAGACAATTTGACTTAAAAAGACTTAATTTTAAGCAGAAGCTTGAAATGAGACTCTGAAGTTGATATTGAAGTGGAAAAAAAATGAAAGGATTGAGCTTAAAGAGTAAGAATCAGATGATAAGTGTTGGGCGTATCAACTTTGAATGCATAGAGTTAACACTTTGAAGAAGAAAGTTCATGAAGATCAAGTGAGTAGCAACTCTAAGTGCTGAAAGTGAACACTGCAGTAGCAAAAATCCTGATGAGTCTTGGGAGTGTACACTCTTGTTGCTGAGGGTAGCCATGCCCAAGGCCAATTTACGCAGACACTTCATGCGTGGACACTCCAACCACTGAGAGTAGCCACTCAAAGTACGCGCGTACACTCTGACCAGTTAGAGTAGCCACTCACTTTGTACGTGTACACTCTGCCTACTTAAAGTAACCACGCGCAAGCTTTACTTACATAGAACACATGCGCGTGGACACTCTTACTCATGAAAGTGTCCACGTAAAATAACAGAATTTTGAAAATCACTTTTAAGTGCCAATTTTTGGACAATTTGAGTTCTTATCTCAGCTATAGAAGCTTCTAGAAGTGAAAGAATTAGAGAAGTTTAATTAGGTATTAGGATCAATGAGGCAAGGAATTGTCCTTTAATTAAAGAAGCGAAACTGATTATCAATCAATTAAAATTCTCAAGAGTCCTGAACATGATTATATTGCAATTGAAAATCTGGTGAAGTGATTCCTAACTATTTTTCACCTAGCAATTCCAATATAAAATTTGTATTCTATTTTACAGCACTTTATTACCTTTATTGTTCTTATTTCTCATCATTTTACATGTTACAAATCCTTCAAATGATATGTGTGGCTCAACTAATTGTCAAATTGTGAAGTGGTAATTGAAAATAAGATCCTTGTGGATGATACTTGGGACTCATATTGATTTCTAAAATTTTATTACTTACTACAACTATCTAGTACTATTTCTAGTTAGCAATTTTACGCGAAGAATATTGTTGTATTCTGATTTGCATAACACGTGTAATTTTGATTATCATAGTATCTAAAGGTTTCTATTCGAATTTGAACGATTGTCCAATCCAATTATTAAATCAATCTTAATATTATTAAATCAATCTTAATAACCACAGATAGGGATGGAAACAAGTCAGGTCAGGTCAGACTTTATTTTAAACAGGTCTGACTTGTAATATAATTATTAAGCTTGAGTCTGGCTTGTTACCTATTAAAGGCTTTATTTTCAGCCTGACCTGGACTATCTAGGTGGCCTGTTAACAAAGCCTACTACAAAAAAAAATCTTAATATTAATGAAAATATAAATATTTTATTATCAAATTAGTTTACATATTTTTCTACTTTTCATCTGTATTATTGATAATTATTAAATAATTATAATAATTTTTATATAATTTTATAAATAATTTTTAAAATATGTTTTGAGTACTAATTATAAATGTTTCATATTAAATATATTTTTATTTTTATTTTTAAAAATTATTAAAGTATTTTTAGTTTTTTTTAAGATCATATTTTGTTTGTTTAAAGACATCTTATAATTAATAAATAAATTTATAGTAAACATATAAAATTAATTACAAAAAATAACATTCACACAATTTGTTGAATTAGCTGAAAGAAAATTATTATATTTTAAAAATAAATAAATTTAAATTCAATGTAATATATATATATATATATATATATAATGACAATATTAATAATTATTAAATTAAAATAAAAATAAAATAATTACAAAATATTTAATTTTATTTATTTCATTAATTTGTTATTTTAAATTAACAAATACACGTAAAATTAACAACACTATAACATTAATGTAATATAGAAAAATATTACTGATACAGTAAACTAAAATATATACTTATATATAAAATATAAATTGATAAATTATCTAATAATTTAATTTTTTATTTATGAAATTTTTTATGAATTATTGAATTTTAAATATAAAGACTATTTCTTCCTTATCAAAGAGTAAAAAGTTAGGCTCTATGGTTTATGGAGAGAGAACAACAAAAATCCCAACCTAGCAACAGTCCTAACAATTTAAGAAAAAAAAATATAGATTTGGTTTATATTTTTTACACTTGTTTACAAATTAGTTCCTAGATAGAAGCAAAACACAACGATTCCTAAATATCCATATTTCAAAATATGCATACACATACAATATTTTGATTTTAGGGTTACATTGTAGTACAAATGTGATAGTTCTAATCGAATCTTTCTATGTATTGATGCAAATAATTTACTAGAATAATATATCGTCATGAAGTAAATATTATCACACATGATTAGGGTTTGCATATGATATTCTTTTATGAAAGAAAAGACCCTAATAACCATAGTTCAATTCCTAAACTCATTCCTTGTAAATGTGATCCAATTTGGTAATAATTTAGTTCAACTAGAATCTAACTTCTCTAGTGAGTTTGTTCTTTGTTAGCAATCCTATAGATTCTTTTAGTATTTAGTTTATGATATCAAATTATATATATAATGAACAAAAGGAATGGAATATGTCACCTTGTGATGTCCAATTTTATTTCTTTATATTCAAATGAACTTTTTCAAAACAAATATCTCATATATTTATTTTATTGAGCATGATCATGCATTTTATAATCTTACTTTATGAAAAAACTTTATAGATATTACTTTTATTATATAAGAGGGACAAATATCGTATAGGTCATTTAAATTCTTCCATTTGATTTATTTTATGCTTAACTTTCAACTCTATGATTATCTTGTTATGTAGGTGATGTTTAATAAGATTAAAATATAAAGTTATCATGTAGAAATTTCAATAATTTCAAGTCAAAGAATCGCTATTGAAGCAAGTGCCCAAAAAAAATGAAAAGTCTAAGTTTTGATGGATGAAAAATAGCCATATTTTAGATGAATTATCTAAAGTATTTGATTAATTTATTCAAGTAATTTTAATAATGTCTGGAAAACAATACAAGTCCAAGCTATCTAGAAAAAACAGAACATCTATATATAACTTACTACAATATCTAAAGACAGTAAGGGCATTAGACTATTAATGTAGAAAATGAACTACTCAAATGTGAAAAAACTATTTTTTTAAACTTTAAATATATCAAAATTGAGGACATACCAAAAAAATAACTTAAAAAAGTTAAAGCAAATAACAAGAAAAAAACAAAGAGATATTGATCTGAAAAAAAATAAAAATATTTTTTCTACTTCTTTTTCAAAAAGAAAAAAAAGTCAAGAATGAAATAAGCTTACTGGTACACTTGGTAAAAAAAAGACATGGACACATGTCAAAGCATTATAGAAAAACAACTTAATAAGTTTAAAGAATAGATGATTGTATTTAAGTAAAGATTCTTGTGACTTGATAAATTGAAGGCACGTTCACCAAAAAAATATAAAAAAAACTGCTAAAATATATTTTTAAAAAATCTTAATTAAATATTATTTAATTTTATATAAACTTCTTTTCGTAAAAAAATTTGTAGTTAGCCTAAAAAATTAAGTATGATTTTTTTTTTTTTACCTAAAGAGGTAATATTATAAAATAATACTTAAAATCATTTGAGTTTGAAGAGACTTATACAAAAATACTTAAAATTGTGAGATATCTATTATAATCTTTGTTAACAATGAAAATCATAGTAATAATATTTAAGATTAAATATAACTCTTATGAGCCGATATAAAATTTCATGTATCATTATTTTATTTTCATACTACAACTTATTTGTTTAACATCATACACAATTAAAATTTATAAAAAAACAAATTTAATCCTTCTTGTTATTATTTCTATCTTACTATTTCAATCACAAACATCATTATTATATTTTAAATTATTTGATATTTATACAAAATTTTTATAATGAGTCAGTTTAATACATGTGATTATCTATGAGATTTGATTATTTATTTACTTACACACTATTTTTTAATGTATTATATTATATTAATATTAATATTTTTATTTAAATAAAAATATTTTTATGAATTTTTTATTACATTACGTAACCTCTCTTACATTTCACACTTAATTTTTAAATATAGTTTTTATTATTTAATTTTATATTTTTAAAATTTATTGCTTTAATTTATTTCTATTTAATGTAATAAAATATTTATTATTAATAATAAAAATTATTAATATTTTAATAAATTGTAATAATTATGTTATATATCTTTAATTTTTTATTTTTAAAATTTGATTTGATTTAATAATACCCATATAATATAAAATAGTCACTGGTTTTTTTAATTTATTTTTATTTATATAAATTGATTTAATTTAAAATTTTCCATGAATGTTTGAGAATTAGGAAAGGTTACAAATATATACTTTAACTCGGGGGGAGAATAGGCGATTCTGCAATGTCGAAGAGGAAAAACAGTGGCAGACTGGCAGTAGAAATACAAGAGAGCCGAATCAATCCATAGAATTAGAATGTATATAGTACAACGAGGAAATTTCCAGAAGAAGTACGAAATCAACGTGAAAAAACTTGATTGGTATAACGTACTCGTTTATGGTTTTGGATGTATGAATATGCGAACACAAGAACCAGACCAAGCACGTGAATGATGGGAAAAAGCACATATTCACGCATAACGTGCATGCTTCACCAATTGTCTTCAATGTTGGAATTGAAACAAGTCCAAGGAATTATCACAAAAGCAGGGTTTCACGGTCACATTCCTTTCACTTGCAAGTTAATATTTTTCTCCGCAATTTCTCCGACAGGAAACCTTTCCCATGCTCATTCTCTCTTCCAACAAACATCCATGGACAATTCCTTTCTTTGCAACACTATGATTCGAGCTTTTGCCAACACTTCCTACCCTCTTCAAGCTCTATATATTTACAACCACATGCAAATCACCAATGTTTTCTCCGATCATTTTACGTACAATTTTGTTCTCAAGGCTTGCTCTAGAGCTTACAGGTTTATCCAAGAATTTGGCAAATTTGATCAGTTTACTATTGCTTCTAAAGGGGCTGAAGTTCACTGCACAGTTTTCAAACTTGGGTTTGTTCATGACCCTTGTATTCAGAACTCTTTGCTCTATATGTACTGTCAATGTGGGTTCGTCCCAGTTGCCCAACATTTGTTTGATGAAATCAGCGACCCAAGTTTGGTTTCTTGGAATATCATGATATTAGCGTATGATCGTATCAATGATTCTAAATCTGCAGATTACCTTTTTGAATCAATGCCACACAAAAATGTTGTTTCATGGAATACTATAATTGCGAGATTCATTAGGGTAGGTGATGTTGAGGCTGCAAGAAGGGTGTTCCAATTTATGCCTGAGAGGGATGCTGTATCCTGGAATTCTATGATAGCTGGTTGTGTATCTGTTAAAGATTATGCAGAAGCTTTAGCACTCTTTTCTGAGATGCAAAATGCTCAAGTAAAACCAACAGAAGTAACACTTATATCAGTTCTGGGTGCCTGTGCTGAAACAGGTGCACTGGAAATAGGTAACAAGATACATGCGTCTCTCAATTTGTGTGGACATAAGATTGAAGGGTATTTAGGAAATGCCCTTTTGAATATGTATTCTAAATGTGGGAATTTGAGTTCAGCTTGGGAGATATTTAATGGGATGAGGATAAAAACTGTGAGTTGTTGGAATGCTATGATTGTTGGTTTGGCTGTCCATGGTTACTGTGAGGAAGCTCTGCAATTGTTTGCAGAGATGGAACAAGAGCTTGGTACTACTAATCCAAATAGGGTAACATTCATTGGTGTTTTGATTGCTTGCAGTCATAAGGGTTTGGTTGATAAAGCAAGATGGTATTTTGATCATATGGTAAAGCAATACAAAATTCGGCCTGATATCAAGCATTATGGTTGCATGGTTGATATTCTAAGCAGATTTGGTTTGTTGGAAGAAGCGCATCAAATGATCAAGATTGCTCCTTCCCAAAATAGTGCCGTTTTATGGAGAACATTGCTGGGTGCTTGCAGGACACAAGTTAACGTGGAATTGGCTAAGATATGCTTCCAACAACTTGCCAAATTGGAGCATCTAACAGATGGAGATTACATGTTGTTGTCTAACGTTTATGCTGAAGCTGAGAGATGGGATGAGGTTGAGCGTGTAAGGAGTGAAATGATTAACTTGCATGTTTCTAAGCAAGTTGGCTACAGCCAAATCAATATGAATGAATCTGATAAGTTTTCCTTAAACCATTGGCCACTTTTTTAAACTCAATATTTCTTAGCTTTCTCCAAAGAGTGCACGAACTCCTGGCTGGCTTATGTTGATGACATTTTTAAATTTTTAAACTGTATACTAAGTATGTCACCGGGTGACCTTGTACCAAGTGAATATTCGTTAATCAGGCTAAATATCCGTTGACATGAAGACTCTGGATAAAGCTGGGAAACTTAAATTCAGCAACATTAATTACTTCTTTTCAAGCTTGTGGAAACTCAAATCCTTTGGTAAGAATTCCTTCCATTGTGTGGTACCGCTACTCTTATTATTTTCATCTTTTATAGATTAACTTAAGTCAACTTAATTTGCTTTTTTCCAAAAATTTGAAAGGATTACATGTTACTTGTTAGTCTTCTAGTTTTATATATATATATATATATATATATATATATATATATATATAATTATTTTGTTTCTTGAGTATTGATATATTTTCTGCTTGACTTAAATATGTTTTGGCCCTTACATTTTAGTGAATTTTTTGTTTTAGTCCCTTCAAACAAATTCTTGTTTATTTGGTCCTTACTTTTTCACGAACTATTGATTTTAGTCCTTTTCGTTGACATTTTACTTGTTAGTCTTCTAGTTTTATAAAAAAATAAAAAATCATTTGTTTCTTGAGTACTAATATATTTTTTTACTTGGCTTAAATATGTTTTTGATCCTTATATTCTAGCGAAATTTTTGTTTTACTCCATTCAAATGAATTCTTTTTGTTTTGGTCTCTACATTTTCTCGAACTATTATTTTAGTCTCTCTAACTGACATTATCTATCTAACCAAAAACTAACATTTTATAGTGAATCTCAAATATCATATTAGCAATAGGGACTAAAACCAAAACTTATAAAAAAGTAGGGACCAAAAGAAAAAGGATTTGATGGTCTAACCAAAAGCTGACACTTGACAGTGTATATCAAATATCATATTAGCAATAGGGACTAAAAACAAAACTTATAAAAAAGTAGGTACCAAAAGAAAAAGAATTTGTTTGAAGGGATTAAAACAAAAAAAAATTGTTAAAATGTGAGGACTAAACTGCCTCCAATTGGATAGTTGGAGGATTAATTGAAAAATAAATACAATTTAGTGGAATGCAAAATGAGTTTCTGAAACACTTGAAGATTGAATTATACTAAGACTACTTTCTTCAGTAAAGAAAACTAACGTCATTTGTATACTCGTGTTCTTAGGTATAATAGATGGAATCTAAGCCTAAATAAGAAAAGGATCCTCAAGGACATGCAACTAATCCAAGATCTTAATCCTCCAGACACAGAAAGGATCTTTCAGGAGCATATAAAGATGCTTCCAGAAAGTAAGTGATACTGGTACTATTTTTCAGTGGCATTCTCGTTTGTTATATTATTGTTCATGCTTTTTATATTTATATTCTTTACTGATGAACAACAGAATGACACTTGATACGAAGAGAGGGGGGTCCAGTAATAGCATCATGAGTAATTTAGGCTGCTCTAAGATAAATAATGACGGTTGTGATTTGGGCAGCACCATGCACATGAATTTAGAGTTTTCTTAGAAATGACTTCTGAAATCTCATACAGGTAACTGACAATGGGAAAGCAGTGCTTAATTCATTGTCTCCAGCTAATTGTCCTTTCAAAATATGATCGAAGGTATATAACAAGGTTCCATGAAATGAAAGAGCTTTGGAGCACCAATATTTAGTGAAGATGCTGTGGTTGCAAATTCTTCTCATGATCCAAGGGTCTTTAGTTTCATAACAACATAAAGATGCTAAGGTAGAAAGTCTCTAGTTTCTTTACTTTGAAACCATATATAAGAACAGAATTATATTGTTATGAAACTTCCCGTAGGACCTAGTCACAGGCCTAGATGTGGAAGAACCCTTCTTGCAACCTACTTCTTATGATATACACAAACACATTGACTATCACTTTAACAACGAACATGTTGCTTCAAGTTTTATTATATTGATCCATGCCAATTTGACTAATTAACTGGCCAATCTCTTGATCAAGCCTTTGCCTTTGTCATCTCTTTTTCAAAGTCTGGTTATCAATTGCTTGATAGACCTACAGAGTAAGACAATAGGTGAAGAGGTTTTCTACCATAGACCAATTGGAAAAGGGTGGCATCGAGGGTTGTGTGGTAGGACGTGTTGTAGTAGTACTCAGCTCAAGGAACCCAATTAACCCATTCTTGGAGATAAATACTAGTGAGGTAGTGAAGGTGTTCAATGTACAATAAATGCTTTTAAGTAACAATGATCAATGGAATTCTTGAGTTATATGTTGATATTGATTTAGTTGGTAGTTATGTAATGATTGCTTAAGCAATATAACTGATATAGCATGTAAATAATTTTTCAGATTTAATTAATTAATTAATTTTACAATTATATAATAATTTTATGTTACAAAATTTTGTTAATTATACTTTTAGGTTGCTTTATTAAAGATATTAATTTATTAGATGATGACGATCTTGAGTATAATTTATCAAATATGTTAGAAATAAATGATAATGATGTTGATAACGAGGGTGAAATTTCCAGTGAAAATGATACAAATATTAAATGTGACTTGAATTCAATTGTTTAATCAAGTGAAATTAGTACTCTGGTTTCATTTGGTGGTTGGCAACAAGGTTAGTTAATATGTATCAGGGATACATAAGTCAAATTAAATAAATATCTTACATAATATTGGTATATTAACAAGAGAAGATTAAAATACACTTTGAAATGATTGTCAACATTATTAATACATTAATTAGGATTATCCTGATGAAGGAATATAATTTGTATATTCAAATTTAGTTTGTTCGTGGAAAGTGTATAACATCCTCTTTTTCATTTATTTAATAAATTGATGAATGGCTTGGTATTATATTGTGTTAGACTGTATTGGAGTGATTTAAGGGTTGGTAGAATTTTAGTGTAGAGGATCTCGCTCAGGCAAGACAAATCTCTCTTAAGCGAGACTAAGCTCCCAGAACTACATGTTTTTAGGACAATCTCACTCAGACAAGATGATTCTCGCTCAAGTGAGATAGGATGTATTCAATCCAACTGTCACCTTGCCCAGGCTAACGTGATCTCACTCAAGCGAGCTGAGTCGCTCAAGCAAAAGACTCACAAGAAAATGTCCAACTCTCTGGATGTTGCCTCACTCAGGCAAGCTGTACCTCGCTCAGGCGAGAATTGCATCGCTCCAGCTAGCTGTTCCTCGCTCAAGCGAGAGTTTGCGAGGCTGAGGGGTATTTGATCATGAGTGTCGCGCTCAAACAAATTATTAAAAATTGAATTGCATAAAAATTATGTAATAAGAGGTGCAATCCGAGTCGTCTCCTAATGATGATAATGTTATATGATTATGAATTTGGATAGGGTTTGATTTATAAAATAACACTGATTAAAATGAAAAATTAACAAGAATTAAAAACTCTAATCCAAGAATTTAGAAGAACTATGACTATTCTATCACCAAATTCCAATAAGATGCATCAGCTAACAAATTAATGATTAACATTAAATTCGAATAAAACATCAATTCAAATTCAGCATTCACATGAAGACCCTCATGCATTCGATTAACACACAATCGCTTAAAGTTCAGAAACCTCTAAAACCTAATTGATTTGTGTTAATTTAATTCACTAATGCCATTAATCTTAGATCTCAAACCTAAAAATCTAATTCACATTCCTTCAAAAATTAATTACACACATCAACCAAATAATATGTAATCAAACAACTGCACAATTATTAATCCAAATGAATAACTTCAATTTGAAAATCTAATTAGCAAAAGGAAAACAGAGGAAGAGATGAAACCGGAGTTGTTGTTGAATGAATTGCGAAACCGATCCTCAAGAATGTCTCAACCCTTTTTCAATCCTTGGATTAGATGAAAGTCTAAGCCTCCATTAATGGAGGAAAACGAAAGGTAAAAATGTGAGAGAAGAGAAAAGGCAAAGAAGAAAAGACAAAAACTCTAAAACTTGTATTATTCCTCCCGAAAAATAACCAACCATTTTTCAACCTGCTGCCCTAATTTAAATACAGGCCTTTTAAGGGTCAAAACATAAAAACTAATTAATAATTATTCAATTACATTAATTCTATACTCAATAGCTATCTCTGGAATCCTTATTTGTTCAAGTTTGAATTTTGGAGGGAAAGTTATGCTTGTAATTGCTGCCTAGTATCCATGTTGAATCCGAGAAGATATTGTGTGGTATTTTTGGCCATGAAGATCTGTCAGTTTCGATTTTTGATATGAAGAGAAATTGTAGTCATGGATGTTAGCTTCAAAATTCAACTAGAATGGACTTAAACGAACATCTGTGGACTGAGATATGGCCCAAATACTACACCAAGGTAAGAAATCGTGAGTGTATATTTCTGACTTTTTTCAGGCCCAGTTTCGACATTTTATCATCAGAATTGGTTTCTGACATCTTTATAGGAATTGTGCGCCTTTCTCTCAGCTTTCCTACAAATTAAGAATCATAATGAAATGAGCTCTACAACTCAAGATATGGCCCAAAAAACAAAACAATATCAGAATTTGCCTAATGCTGGAAAAATTAAATAAAGCCCAAATAAAATTCAAACATCATAAAATGATCAAATTCAAACCAATTAAGCACAAAAGAGGATTAATGAGCTAGGAATGAGAGGAAATAAGATTGTAAAAATTCCAATTGATTAGTATTTAAGAGATTTCCAGCATAGAAATTTCATTTCATTCCAAATCTTATGTTTTCTTCTCGTTTTCTCTGAACTCTCACTTCCTTCTCTCAGATAAAACTCCCTCAAACTCCGATTACTCTTCAAATCTGAGTTTGGACGTTAAATCTAAATGACTCAAAATAAGTTTCTCTGGATTAAACTTTGTTTTCAATGATTGTTTCTCTTATTTTTCAATCTTAACAGATATCTATTGGTACTCAGGAGAACTTTTGTAATTGAACTCTAATCTTTGTTAATATCGCTTCAC